TTTGCAGCATACACCTTTTGACGTATTCTATTTTACATGCTATGGCTCTGTATTTTTCTCTCTATTCTTGATCTCATTTGCTTCCTGAATATGTTGGTTGGTATGTTATTGAATCTGCTATTTCCTCCTCTGTAGATCCCCTAAAATTCTACATGATATCCTGTCAAAAATTTCAAACAAGACCTATTTGAATTTCAACATTTGTATCTTGACACAACTTGTTTTTTCAGGAAGAACCTACTCCTCCTTTACAGGGCCTACAAAAGACTTCCTGATGCTGCGCTTTATTTATTTTATTCTCTGATAAATTTGCTTGTGCGTTTCACCTCAACTTCCATATAGTGCAGTGGGAAAGTTTTTTTTTCATTTGGGAGTTCTGCTCTGTGTTTTATTTCTTTATATGTTTTGGGTCATCAAACAAATTTAATTATGGAACAAAGAAACCTAATGTAGTTTAAAGAAAAAAATCCTTCCAGTATTGATGCAGAGAACATGCTGATATGAGAAATGCTAATTGAACCTGTAATTAGAAACAAAGTATAAATTAGCCCCTTTTTGTTCAATTTATTACTCAGCTACATTTAGTCTGATAGGCTACCTGGTATCTAGGAATTATATAATCAGTAGACAATAGACATTTTAAAAAGGAAAAAACATCATACATCACCTAAATAAAATAAGAAAGGGAAGACAACATTACTGAGGTCTATCTGTCTCAAAAAAACTGATAATGTCATTTACCATGGCAGTTACCCATTTCACATTTCAAAAAAGATACTATGATGATTTCAGAGAGTTTTGCAAAGATATGCTGTAAACTAGCGAGACAAAAATGTAACTTTATGTAATGTATGCACAAAGCTTAAGTTTCATGCTGGCAGTCTACCATGTAGGAGATATTGTGTCTGCTAATGATAAAACCTTTAATTGTGCACTTTATAATTTAAGAGATACTTCAGCTATATATATATATATATATATATATATATATATTGGGGGAAATAAGTATTTGACCCCATGCTGATTTTGCAGGTTTGCACACGTACAAAGAATGCAACGATCTATAATTTTAATTATATGTACATTCTAACAGTGAAAGACAGAATCCCAAAGAAAATTCCAGAAATTCACATCATATGAATTTATAAAAATTGATAACCATCTGATGAGGAAAAACAAGTATTTGACCCCCTGGACAAACAGCACGTTAATAATTTTGTAGAAAAGCCATTATTGGCCAGCACACATGTCAAACGGTTTTTATAGTTGGTGACAAAGTTTGTGCACATTTCAGCAGGGATGTTGGCCCACCATCCCTGCAGACAGCCTCCAAATCATTCAGGTTCCAAGGTTGTCGCCTGGCAACTCGAATTTTAAGCTCCCTCCAAAGATTTTCAAATGGATTCAGGTCTGCAGACTGGCTAGGCCACTCCAGAACCTTGATGTGCTTCTTCTTCATCCACTCTTTTGTTGCTTTGGCTTTGTGCTTAGGGTCGTTGTCGTGCTGAAACCCACGATATATGGCCCCGTCCATCCTCCCCTCAATATGATGGAGTTGTCCCGTCCCCTTGGCTGAAAAACACCCTCAAAGCATGATGTTGCCACCACCATGCTTGGCGGTGGGGGTGGTGTTCTTTGGGTTGTACTCGGTGTTCTTTGCCCTCCAAACACGAGTTGAGTTGAGGCCAAAAAGTTCTATTTTGGTCTCATCTGACCACATCACCTTCTTCCAGGCCTCTTCTGAGTCGTCCAGGTGGTGAATGGCGTACTTCATGTGGGCCTGTACATATTTCTTCTTGAGCAGGGGGACCTTGCGTGCTCTGCAGGATTTCTATCCATGACGGCGTAGTGAGTTACCAACCGTTTCTTTTGTAACTGTGGTCCCAGCTGCCTTCACTTGATTCATCAGTTCCCCCCTTGTGGTTTTGAGATGATTCCTCACCGTTCGCATGATCAGGGACACCCCACGAGGCAAGATCTTGTGTGGAGGCCCAGACCGAGGTTGGCGGTGGTGTGGTGCTTCTTCAGTTGATCTTTTCTCTCCAAGTTGCTTTCCGATTCTCTTTTAGCCCATCCCAGCCTTGTTCAGATCAACAATCTTGTCCCTGATGTCCGTAGAAAGCTCTTTGGTCTTGCCCATGGTGGTGATGATGGATGCTGGTTGTTTGGGTGTTGACAGGTGTCTTTTATACAGGTAACGAGGTGAGGCAGGTGTATTTGATGTAGATAATTGCTTGGGATTGGGGCTGTATCTTAAAGAAAGGCTAACTGGCTTGTAGGAGCCAGAATACTTGCTGTTTGGTAGGGGGTCATATACTTGTTTTTCCTCATCAAATGGTTATAAATTTTTATAAATTCATATGATGTGAATTTCAGGAATTTTCTTTGGGATTCTGTCTCTCAATGTTAGAATGTACATATGACTAAAATAGTAGATTGTTGCATTCTTTGTAAGTGGGCAAACCTGCAAACTCAGCATGGGGTCAAATACTTATTTCCCCCAATATATATATGTATATATATATATATATATATATATATATATATATATATATATAGCTGAAGTATCTCTTAAATTATAAAGAGCACAATTAAAGGTTTTATCATTAGCAGACACAATATCTCCTACATGGTAGACTGTCAGCATGAAACTTAAGCTTTGTGCATACATTACATAAAGTTACATTTTTGTCTCACTAGTTTACAGCATATCTTTGCAAAACTCTCTGAAATCATCTTAGTATCTTTTTGGAAATCTGAAATGGGTAACTGCCATGGTAAATGACATTATCAGTTTTTTTTGAGACAGATAGACCTCAGTAATGTTGTCTTCCCTTTCTTATTTTATTTAGGTGATTTATGATGTTTTTTCCTTTTTAAAATGTCTATTGTCTACTGATTATATAATTCCTAGATACCAGGTAGCCTATCAGACTAAATGTAGCTGAGTAATAAATTGAACAAAAAGGGGCTAATTTATACTTTGTTTCTAATTACAGGTTCAATTAGCATTTCTCATATCAGCATGTTCTCTGCATCAATACTGGAAGGATTTTTTTCTTTAAACTACATTAGGTTTCTTTGTTCCATAATTAAATTTGTTTGATGACCCAAAACATATAAAGAAATAAAACACAGAGCAGAACTCCCAAATGAAAAAAAAACTTTCCCACTGCACTATATGGAAGTTGGGGTGAAACGCACAAGCAAATTTGTCAGAGAATAGAATTACATAAATAAAGTGCAGCATCAGGAAGTCTTTTGTAGGCCCTGTAAAGGAGGAGTAGGTTCTTCCTGAAAAAACAATATATATATATATATATATATATATATATATATATATATATATATATATATATATATATATATATATATATATACACATTTTACACACATTTTACATAGTCAGTTGATCCAAATATAAGTTCTGAAGCTTATTTTCAAAATAACTTTTATGAAGCTATCAAACATACTTTTTAGCCGACATTTTTCTTGGGTCTAATGCAATTTACCAATCCTAAGTTCCAGTTTTTCTTTATCTTGAAGCAGAAAATCATCTAAATTAATCGGGGCCAGCCCAAGCCTCCATGGGGCCCTAAGCAAAATTAGATTTTGGGGCCCTCTATTTCTGCCAATAATAATGCTAGCTGCAATAACCAGTGCGATAATCAGATCATTCACATAAACTTATTGCAGCGTTGGTAGTGCTGTTTACAGTCTAATGTTTCTATGCATCATATAACTTTACAATTAGTAATAAAATAAACTTTATTTACAGTAAAAATGTGGTTTGCAATATTTGGTTCTGTAACAGCAATGTGAAGATATAACCTCTAGTGCAATAATAAGTGACAAATAACACAGTTTTGATAAATAAAAATAATTAAATTGAACAAGAATATACATGATTAAGTCAAATAAACAAAATGTATAGTCTATCAATGTTCTGGTCGGTTTGTCAATCTGCTTTTTCATGTATAGGTAATAATTTTGAATGACATTTTTCCCTTTATTGTCCCACAATGGGGAAATTGCAGGCTCTATTTTTGTAAAAAAAAATTCAAAAAATGATCCTGAAAATGTATATCCTATTACTTAATATATGTATAGAAATCATTTAACATGCAAAAAACAATGAATAGTTAATTGTTATTGAAGGCCACCTAGTTGTTCTGTGGTCCTTAGCAGTTGCTCAGTTCCCTAACGCCTAGGGTCAGACTTGTAAAATAATAGAATAAGGTTTGATTCATTTTAAGGTTCAATTACTGAAATAAATGAACATTTCAATGCCATGAACATGTATAACTGTTCTTCAAGATTTTGTAATAGTATTACCATCAACATAATAAACATTTAAGCTTGGCAATTAGCAGAGACACCAGCCAACAGCTGAATGAAAACTAGATTACATTTTGGAAAAGTATCAGCTGACTTTGATTATAGATGTTGCACGTCACTGAAACTAAAAAATACTTTAAATGTGTAGAGTACGTGACAACCACAAGTTTCACAAGCAAAAATGTTACAGATCCAAGGAGATGAGGGAAGTCCATGCAGTTTAGCCTTTAGCAAAAAGTAGTATACTTTTAGTATACTTGAATAAATGACTTTTTACTTTTACTTAGGCTCCCAGTTTTTATGCTGTGTCAATTGTTTAGAATTTTTTGGGGGTTTTTTTTATTATGTTTTTTTAAACAATGAAAATATATAGTTTCTGGAATGAGGTAAGCACTTTGCTTTCACTGGTTAAAGTGCCATGCTTCACATATCTTTTGTGTGTTTTGTCTTTGCAAGAAAGTTAGAAGAACATTTGAATTCTATTCACAAAAGATAAAAGTGTAATTTAAATATAATATTTAGCATTTAAATGTTAAATAGACACTTCTTGTATGTTCGTCTTGAGAATAATAAAAATGCAGATTAGTGAAAACATTTAGGACAAGCCCACATCAATTCTCGCAGGTAAATGGAATTCTTCCCAAAATCTCGCGATAGTAGTCGGCTTGTGAGGCAGATGATCCCATGGGATGTTGAAAGAGATGATGAGGGAACTGCTACTCTTCAGTGGTGGAGAATCAGACGTCGAGTAGAATCCATCAGCATCGAAAGCGGAAGGTCTGTGCTGTAGTAGACGATAGTGGGATTTCTGTGTCTGTGCGCGCGTGTGAGAGAGAGAGTGTTCATGACAGACAGTGGGTGCTGCTTCTCTGAGGGAGGTTTCTGGCTTTCCTGAGAATCAAAACAACCGTTTGTCGCGGTGGAGGTAGTTTACCGAAGCCTGTAGGAAATCCTTTTTTTATGACTCCTGTAAATAGAGAGCGCTCAGCTCGCAGCACCGCATAGCTTTACTCAGACCAGAGTTAAATGGAGGCATTTGTCAGGGTTGAAAAAAACTAAACCATGAGAGTATATTATGCCCCCTGAGTGCAGAGGGGTCACCTGTTTTAATCAACACGAGCTCCTATATCGTTAAACAAGCCTATTGTGCTCTACATGCGCGCATTAAACGTCACGCGCAAAACTTTGTCCCCACGAGCGCAGCTGAGCTGCGTATTTTCCACCGCACGCGCGCATTCGACATGCACTGCGCACAATTCTGTGACCCCGAGCGCAGCTGAGCCGACAACCAACCCATGTGAAAAAACTCGGCATTTTTTTTTTGCTGTTAAAGTGATCATTTATATTACTTTTGTTTCTGAGATATTAATGATTTTTTTAAGGTCTTCTGAGGTCAAGCAATCCAATTAAAGCTACAGTGTGTAATAATTACAGGGATATACAGTCAGAAATGTAGCCTAATATATTATACATAACTATGTTATTTATCATCATCTACGAGCTCAGCCTCTTAACCTTAATATTTGCGTTGCCTTAGAATTCGTTATTTATAATTACATAGGAGCGGGTCTCGCAGCCATGGAGGCAGACATCTTTGCACTACGGCAGCGCAGAGCCAACAAACTAGCGATTGCGAGATCGCCCATTATGCTCGAAAGTAACTACGGCAAGTTGAGAGAGATGAACTGAGACGGTACTGAACACACAGACTAATTAAATACTATCTGTAAAATGATCTATGTAAACAAACCTCATCACTTGAGAAGGTAGGTGATGCGGACGTCGTGGAAGACATTTTGTCCCGTAACGCTCGCCGTACTGTTGGGGGGGAGAAGCGGTAGGGGGGAAATGTTCATGTTGCTGCGGTCTGCAGTCTGGACGTTAGATGTCGCTGAAAATTACACACTGTAGCTTTAAGCTCCGAATGGAACCAGCCTGGTCTACTTCGCTCTAATTTCTACAGCTGAATTTTTCAGTTTTTCTTGTGTTCTAATTTAGATTTTATAAAAAAGTGTAGTTTTAACATAAATTAAGTGAAAAATATGTAAAAATCCTAAATTATTAATGTATAATGATCTCATAAGAAATAGAATTTTTATTAAACCTTATTGAATAGAAATTTCACTTAATGCAGCTCTCTTAATTTTAATCTCTTGCCATTTTTTTTATTTCATGCTTTTCTGTGCCCCCATGAAAACATGCTGCCCCCCTCCTGGCCCCCTGTTACATTTGGTCTAGATCCGCCACTGTTCCTCACTTTCACTAGACGTAGATATACTTTAGTATATTCTACTGTAAAATGAGTCCTATATTTTTGTTCTTTACTCGAGGATTGAACCTCTGCCGTTTCATAGGATGCGCAGCTTTGAGTGGTAACTAGGTGACTGCCAGAGAGTAAACAGAAACTTATCGGACTGATCCAATCAGCACCTCTGACAACCAGTAGCCTGGAATGCTCATTGAACAGAGCATCGCTTTGAACAGACAGGTTTCACAAGCAACCCCCCCACCCCTCTCTCTTGTTGTGCCTGTGCAATCGAAGTTGATCTAATCCGCACATGATGCACAAATTATTCTATTGCCTTAAAAAAACACCACTGCGCATAGTCTAAAATCCGGGATAATTTATCTATCTATCTATCTCTTGCAGGCATCCGTGCCAACGATCTATATCAGGGAGACTCCCATAACAATACATATATTGTTATGTTGTTACGCCATTGTGTGTGTGTGTGTGTGTGTATGTGTGTATATATATATATATATATATATATATATACTGTATATATATATTAGTGCTGTCAAAATTATCGCGTTATTATCGCGTTAACGCAAGGCCATTTTAACGGCGATAATTTTTTTAACGTGAGATTAACGCTATGTGGTTTTATGGTACAATTTTCCAAGTACATCCCGCTGCAGCCTGCGGGAAGGCGGGGCTATTTTCCCCCAGTGTATGCATTTCTCATAGGCTTAGAGCGGAGCTCCTCAAGGGAAAAAGACGCTCATACACTGGGTAGCGCTAGTGCCTTTTCTTTAAGCCCCACCACCAACAAACAAGTTGAGTGTCTGGTAACTAGTAGCAACCTGAAATACGCTGAGAAAACAGATTACTGAGGTGAAATGGAATCTGCTACGGCGCTCTTGCTGTCTGTGTACGCTACAGGTCGGTATCGTGTGTGTGTGTGTGTGTGTGGGTGGATGGATGTGTGTGTTCTCATTTTTGTTAAGAGGCTGAAAAGTAACTTTCTAGAGCATAGACTACCTCCATCTAGTGATGTCGGTCTATTGATTTTTTATGTATTGATTGAAAATTGTTCATTATTACCTTGGTTAATTAACATCTAATGTTAACTGTACTACATTTTATAGCAGTAGGGTAAAATGCTTGTCTTTGTTCAAAAGACTGTATTAACTGTAAAGACTGTCTTTTACATCAGCCTGTTTTCAGGGCCTTTTTTTGGCTACATATTTGTTATTTTTTGCTACATGCCTCCCCATCTTCTTGCCATATGTTTCTATGGCATAAATCAGTGTCTGTGACCTGTTTTCATTAAAAAAAAAGAACATTGGCACAAACCTAGCCTGTATGTATTTTTTGTATGTCTTCGAGAGTATTTAAATGATTTTCAATCAGAAAAAAAATTTGCGATTAAAATGCAATTAATCGCGAGTTAACTCAGGCATTGATGCGATTAATCGCGATTAAAAAAATTTAATCGATTGACAGCACTAATATATATATATATATATATATATATATATATATATATATATATATATATATATATATATATATATATATATATATACAGTTGGTTTCATTGTGAAATCCCAATAGCAAGATTATGGACAGGAAATGCTCTTGAGTTGCAAGGGGTAAAGGTTGATGAACTCCTAATCTGAAACAATTATTACACCCACTAAATAAGATAAACATGCCCTCTCTTAAATGCAATGCCAGCGGAGGAATGCCATATTATTTTATTCAATAACTTTATATTTGAAACCAGGACAGCACTAACCTCTGCTCGACACGACATCTTTGAAAGAAATAACAAATTATATCTTAAAAACCAAAGCAGCACAAACAAAAGCTGTACCTGCGCAAATTTGCACTAAAATTGCACTAAGAAAGAAGGCCAGTTTGGTTCAATTCAGAGCTTAAAACTACAGTGTGTGACTTCAAGCGAAATCTCATAGACTGTGTCCTACCATCGGCTTAAATCACTTTATTGGGCACTGCATAGTGATTAAATCCATTTTAAATGAATGTCTGAATGTCTAGTGGATGATAAAGTAGTGGACTTGATGCACCTTAAAAAGTAGTGATCACTAGACGAGCAGATATATGAAAAGTAGTGATCATCTGTCTGAATGGTCAGTAAACTGAGTTCACTATAAAGTCCACTATATAGTCTCCGCTCTACATAGTGATTGGGGGATATGGGGGTTGAGTGGACATTTGGACACAGCCATGGTCAGACATGAACCGCCTGTCTTCAACCCCACTTCCAACAATATGGAGACTTCCACCACATCCACATCACCTTTCTTGTCAAGTGTTGATGAGGTTTGTTTACATTAGAGACTCACACATCAGGATTTGGGGATTATTACCAAAAACATGTTCATTAACATTATATCATTATGTGTATCAAGTAGATTAGAAAGTATCATGAAATGACCTCTGTTTTAGTGAAGGAGGAGGTGGAGACGAGCTTTTTATTAAATAAAAATGAAAGATAGAGACAACATTGGTGATAACGGGTAGGGATTGCTCTTAAGTTTTAATTCAGCCTTAGATACGGTAGACTGTTTGTCTTCTTGTAGCATGCGCAGACACCAACCAGAGCTCCGCTGTCTGTCCACCCCTTTCACCTCTAGCAGTTGGCCTTTAGAGGCCAGTCTCAGCCTGCTGCCACCTCTTCTCGCTCTGTTTCCCTGGCAGGTTTCTCCGATGTACCCTGGTCCTCCTCATGGTCAGCTGCAGTCCCTCTCCACCGACATCAGCACTCTGTTTCCCCGGCGGAGTTATCCGATCTATGACTGTCCTGTGGGTCAGTTGTAGCCTCTCACTCGCCTTCAGTGCCCAAGGTTTCTCTGGTCTATTGCAATTCTCCGCCGCTCTCCTCCTGAGTTAGTGCTGTGGTTCCTTAGCTCCAGAGGAGAGCATTGATGGCCGCTTCATCTCATTTATGGAGCTCTCTATATATTTCTGTCTGCTTTTGTCTGAGCTCGAGAACATTGCTCACTTACCTCTGTTGTCACATTGAGTCTTCCCTCTGTTTTGGGCATGCTGACCAAAGCAAACATGGACCAAGCGCAGGAGAAAGATCTGAGCATCGCCAAATGACCAGTACAAGTCTCTTTAATATAGATTATTTTATTTGTCTGTGTAGGATAAACTCCTTGTAGCGTCCAAGCTAATTGATGGTCTGACTCTTTAACTGATGGTTCATATTCTTTTATTTTAGAATGGTGATTAGAGGCAGAACTCACCATAAGAGCTATAAGAAAATAAAAGTAAAAAACACAATTAACTTTCCTTTTATCCAATAAACAACCATTTAAACTAAGCAGATTGTAGATAAACACACAAATTATTCCGATCTAATAATAACACAAAGGAATTAGCTTTGCTATAAATAGAATGATACAAGGCTAAAACCTGCTACTGCTAACACATGTTACATCCATGAAACAATCATCAAACTCCAACCGGAAACAATATAACATGAAAAATAATTAAAACAAACCTTGTGCCCAACATAGCC